GTGACAATAGTGAGAAAAAAGATAGTTCAAGAGTAGGTTTGCAGGGGTGAGAAAGAAAGGAGAGTACTTAACGAGGAGGTAATTAAAAAAAGTAGGAAATTAGATGTATTGAATGGGAAGAGTTGATATTCTTATCTAGGAATCTGCTACAATCCATGTCATTGGCTACTTCAACTGGAGGACAGAAATTTCAGTCGTTCAGTTATTCAATGACATTCTTGGAAATAAAAATTACAATATATGTATATGTTTAGAGCCTCTCTAATAGGCTCTCTATTCGCACTCAATTCTCTATTATAGAGTCAACCTTTAAAATTTTTCTCCAATGGACTCTTTATTTTGACTCTCTAAAATAAAGAGTCCAATTTGACTCTTTACATTTGGAGAGTCAAACCTACTCTCTACTATATTTTTTTGGAACAAAAAAGGATATATTTGTCTTTAAGACATTTAGGATAAATGTATCTTATTTAAAATAATACAAAAAAATAGGAGGGAAACCAAATTTATTGCTAAAGAGGAGAAAACATAAAATGATAAAATGACAAGAATAGAGAGTCCTATTGGAGTGGTGTGTAAGAATTTACTCTCTGTTATAATTTTTTACTAAAGGTGCTCTCTAAAATAGAGAGTGCGGTTGGAGATGCTCTTAAGGAACTTTCTTAAGAATGAAATCAAAGAGGATGAAGTGACATTCTAGTTGAGTATTTGACCGGCAAGAGGTGACAAGCTGGTGACATGTGTTGGTTGTGACAAGCAAGTAGATGGCTGGTTGTTGACAACTGTATAGCTAGGAAGTAAGTTACTACAAAATAGAATATTCAATTCTGAGTAAAAGAGAAATTGCAGATATGTACCCCTAATAGGCAAAAAGTACTCTCTGCAAATTATTATTTTTCCAATTTGCTGACAAGGGGAAGAGCGGGCAATCAGTTGTGGATGATCCTATTTGGATGCAACTGTAGTGGTCCCTATTTGCTGGAAACTAATGATAAGAGGGGCCTATATGGGGCATGGTTCAAGGTTGCAGTATTGGCATCGAATTGAATAGTTCTGAGACACATCGGTGGCGCAGCGGCATGGTATCGGGTGTTATTGACCTAAAAACGTTAAACATAACGAGAAATATAGAACAAACAGCGGCATCGCGGAATCGTATCGGCTGATTTGGTGACGATAACTCGGCAATTTAGGATTAACTCGGATACAACACAGTCANAGATAGTTCAAGAGTAGGTTTGCAGGGGTGAGAAAGAAAGGAGAGTACTTAACGAGGAGGTAATTAAAAAAAGTAGGAAATTAGATGTATTGAATGGGAAGAGTTGATATTCTTATCTAGGAATCTGCTACAATCCATGTCATTGGCTACTTCAACTGGAGGACAGAAATTTCAGTCGTTCAGTTATTCAATGACATTCTTGGAAATAAAAATTACAATATATGTATATGTTTAGAGCCTCTCTAATAGGCTCTCTATTCGCACTCAATTCTCTATTATAGAGTCAACCTTTAAAATTTTTCTCCAATGGACTCTTTATTTTGACTCTCTAAAATAAAGAGTCCAATTTGACTCTTTACATTTGGAGAGTCAAACCTACTCTCTACTATATTTTTTTGGAACAAAAAAGGATATATTTGTCTTTAAGACATTTAGGATAAATGTATCTTATTTAAAATAATACAAAAAAATAGGAGGGAAACCAAATTTATTGCTAAAGAGGAGAAAACATAAAATGATAAAATGACAAGAATAGAGAGTCCTATTGGAGTGGTGTGTAAGAATTTACTCTCTGTTATAATTTTTTACTAAAGGTGCTCTCTAAAATAGAGAGTGCGGTTGGAGATGCTCTTAAGGAACTTTCTTAAGAATGAAATCAAAGAGGATGAAGTGACATTCTAGTTGAGTATTTGACCGGCAAGAGGTGACAAGCTGGTGACATGTGTTGGTTGTGACAAGCAAGTAGATGGCTGGTTGTTGACAACTGTATAGCTAGGAAGTAAGTTACTACAAAATAGAATATTCAATTCTGAGTAAAAGAGAAATTGCAGATATGTACCCCTAATAGGCAAAAAGTACTCTCTGCAAATTATTATTTTTCCAATTTGCTGACAAGGGGAAGAGCGGGCAATCAGTTGTGGATGATCCTATTTGGATGCAACTGTAGTGGTCCCTATTTGCTGGAAACTAATGATAAGAGGGGCCTATATGGGGCATGGTTCAAGGTTGCAGTATTGGCATCGAATTGAATAGTTCTGAGACACATCGGTGGCGCAGCGGCATGGTATCGGGTGTTATTGACCTAAAAACGTTAAACATAACGAGAAATATAGAACAAACAGCGGCATCGCGGAATCGTATCGGCTGATTTGGTGACGATAACTCGGCAATTTAGGATTAACTCGGATACAACACAGTCAATTTGGCTAAGTCATGCGAGATTCGGGGTTTATACATATCGTATAACAGTATTGTCTCGGAAGGTGCCGAGTCGGATGACTCAGCCAACTCATATTGGTATTGGTCGATACTTTGAACTATGATATGGGGAACCTTAGGGTCTTTCTCATACTGGTTGAGGTGTAGCCTATTTTTTCACCTACCGTTAGTGAGTGCTTGTAGCGTCATTGAGTAGTAAAAGTTGTAAAACCATCACTGTATTAAGAATCAACATGCCATTGCCCCCATGATTAGAACCCATGAACTCTTCGAGGAAACTTGTCTGATTCTTGGAATAGAGACGCAACGGGAGCAATGCACGACAAGTGAAACAGACAGTCATCAAGGTGGCTACCCCATGTCTTAAAGATTGAGTTGCTATATAACACTACCCCAAGTCTTCGAAGTGATGTTCCAGTAAGCATAAGCAGGAGTAGCAAGACTAGACCTATATTACCATACATTATACCAATTACTGGCCTTGTGGGGCCTTTCACTAGCCACACCATTTTTCCACTAGAACACACTGAAGTTCTAGCACTGCCCCGTTTAGAATCTAATTGTTTTTTTATTTTTCTTTAGTTGTTCAGTTTATTCTTTCCCATGTTTATTGGAATTTGCATTGGTTGGTTTTGTGGAGACATTGATGTAGTCGGCCCAATTTATTTTTACCTTCCCCCATTTGGTGGAGGACAATTTATCCTCACATTTAAGTGTTCAGAGATAGTAAGAAGGTGATGATCAAAAATTTTTTTTTTTTAGATGGGACAATTGACACATATCGGTTTCAGTGAAAGCAGAAATGACTCAATGGTGGAAAATCGATATTTCCATGTTTTGGAATGAAACTTCAATTTTTTTTTTCTCTATTTCACTCTATTTCCAAAACCTTTCTAAAAATTACCATACTCCTTTTTGTTTTCGAGCCAGCTAAAGTTATACACTGGAATGAAAATTTGATCCTTGATAAAAAGGGTACTTTAGGCATTTTCAAGAATTTCTCAATCCTCCCTAACCCCCTATGATGTTGTTGTCCTTTGTTGCTGCTAAACCTTGCAACTGATTGTCAAGTAGTGCCCTCAAGGTCCATATTTAAAGGTGAATTGTGAGCAAAAGTTTCAAGGTTCACTTTGGATGACACACAATGATTGTGTTGCAATAGATAGTGTTGATTGGGTTTTTAGTGCGGCAGAACAAAAAGTATCTGCTCAAGCCCGCAATAGAAAGAGTTTGGGGAGAGCCCCTGGCAAAACAAAATTAAACTTAAGAACCTTCCTTCTTTAGTGCCAACCCGGGGATCCAATAGAGATGCCCTGTCAAGTGATTACAATCGTATCTGAATCTGTTTTAATAATAGAAAGTATGGATCAAAATTTTGTTTCAGTGCATTGTTTTGATCACTTAAGAAACGGAAACGTTTCGCCATATTTCGGAAACGTTTCGACCCGTTTTAAAAACAGAATGAAAAAAATAAAAAATTTAAGAATTATTTTTTCAAAATATTAGTTAAAATATACCCAAATATTTTTAAATACCTTAAAATATTTCAAAATAATTATGCAAATGCATTGAAATATAACAAAACATTTCGAAACATTAAGAAACACATTGAAGTATTAGAATTTCGATTCCAGTACTAATTCGTTTCGCTCTCCTTGGAAACGGAAACGTTTCGAATATTTCGACTGTTTCGAAATGATATTTTGATCATTGATAGAAAGGTAACCCCAAAGACAAGCTTGGCTCAGATGGAATATTGGTCTTATGGAATATTGTTCTATATGACCTATGTTAGGTTTCAGGGTATGAGAGTTGCTTGATATTGGTGGGTTCAGTTGTTGTGAGAGAGAGAGAAAGAGTTTCAACAATGGTGGCGCTGTATGAGGATGAGTGGTGTGGGTCATCTGCATACTTGTCGGATAAGAAGATTAACATAGAAATTTTTTGTTTTTCTTTTTCCTTTTAGTTGAACAAACAATATTACATATCAATAAGCAAAATTAACACAAACTCAAACGTCTTAATTGGGTTTAAAGCAAGGACTATTTTTTTGTCAAGTGAAATTTGGCGAACAAGCTAACCTCCTCAGTCCTCACCCTTTTATATGGGGTGTTGGCATTTTCCCCACGAATATTCTCTCTCTCTCTCTCTCTCTCTCTCTCAAAGTGACAAGTGTATCAAAATGGGCATTGGANATGAATATTCTCTCTCTCTCTCTCTCTCTCTCAAAGTGACAAGTGTATCAAAATGGGCATTGGATGGATGGCCCTGACTAGATTGACCATGCCTCACTTAGATGACATACTTTCATGTTTTTGTGGTCTCTTTTTAAAAGTATTTTATGTATGTTTCCCCTGTCCAGTGCACCCAAAAATTCCTGATCTGTGTGTGCGTTTGTGTGGTGCACAAAATAAAATTGATTTGATGCTCATTTTTTATTGCTACATTGTTCAGATACCTTCCTGGACCAGATGATATGTTAGTTCTGGATATTGCATACATGATCTATATGAAGTTTGAAGAATTTCCTCGAGCCCTTCAGATTGCAATATTCCTTGACAACATGCAGGTCTGTACTCTACTATGATTGTGGATAACTCTCCCTCCCCCCCCCCCCCCCCCCCCC